GGCGCAGTACATCTCCTAAAATGCTTTTCTATACTAAATGTATGTGATGAGCATAGTCGAAATCACAGCTTTACATTTGGAAGGAGCTAAAATTTGTTTACATCCTTACTACTGTAGAGAAGGACTCATACAAGTCATTACATTAGTTTATGTGCTATAGCCTCATAGCCCCTTTACGTTTAGAAACTTGTAAGGGATGCTTAAGCAAGCCAAGGCTCCATGGCATTTGAGCACTTGCAGTGCATCGATAAATAAGTGTATAACAAAGTTGGTTCGAACAAAATAAACGAGAACATGTGGCAGTTGTGCAGATTCGGTCTTGCGGCTGCGACTGCGTGCTACATAGATCACTGCTATGCAATCAAATGCCTGTCGATGCAACGCATGAACATACAATATATGTAGTTTATAGTACTATATATAGTACAGTGTAGTATACTACATACAGTTTAGTACGCAGTATATATACAGCATAGTAGCATATGGTTTATGGTATGGATATAGAATTTTCATTTTGAAAGAGATGCATGCAGGAACAAACAATTTTTGTTGTTAAAGATAAAGAAGAGTAATCAGAGTAGCTCTCTATGGATTTCCTAAGGGATAAGTAATTTTGCCTATGCTATTTAGCATTGTTTTTGAGTTTTTCCTCCAAAACACTGCTGGCCTTCTCAATGACAAAGATGTCATTATAGAGAGATGGTAAACCTCAAGACATCTTACTTATCTAACAGGATATCTTAGCGACCTTGAGAACACAGATAACATTGCCCTGGTCACAAGTACTGAAAGCTCTATAATCTGACGACGTGCGTAAGCAACACAGTTACAAAAGTCGGCCCGTACCTTAATGCCGGGAAGTTCATCGTTATGAGGAGTTCATTACATACGGCTAATCCTCTAGTGGAAAGAAGAGGATAAACCACAGAGGAAAACGACCAGTTTAAATATTTCGGCTGAACGACAGCACTATCCATCCAGGGCTAAAGTGAAGGATCCCCCTCGCGCACAGTCCTTTTGGTAAACCGTCAATTGTTTGGGCTGAGAAAAGGATTGTCCTTTCCACAAAAATTAGCTTGTCCCTTGCTTCTGTCAAGTCTGTGTTGTTTTACTGCATGGAGATAGCTGTTCTAACGAAGATGGAATGGCTTTATTCTCTTCCAGGAACAGGTGACCTCGAAAAATGGGGAGATTAAGAGAAGGGGGTTGGATAATCTGGTTGAACGTAAACCATTTACTCCAGCCCCAAGCCTCTCGCGTGTGAGCCAAAACACGGAAGAAGTCGACTGAAGGACAGTATGTAGCATGGAAGATCCAGATAAAGGCAAATTTACTTTTAGAGACGAAATTTATCTTCTACGACCCAGTAGTCAGTGCTCAATAGCAAAAGTGCCGTCAATCTGCTAATACAGTAGAGATCACAAATCAGAAACGTTCTGCTCTCTTTATGATAACGGTTGAAGGTGACGATCCCACCAACACTCAAACTAACACAGACCCAGAAACGAAAGCGGGCAGCGCAGTATTCAAGTAAACTCTTTGGCAATGTACCTCGATAAAGGCAGGTCCAACGGGGTCTTCGAAAAACATTTGTCCCGACACGATGACCCACTGCTGCAGGAAAAGAATGACTCGTCTCCGGAAGGCGACCATTTGCTCTGCAGTCGACGCGTACGGTTCTTCCAGAGTCCAATCACCACTAACAGTCTATAGCTAATTTGTATTCTGATTTGCATTATGTTAACGATGTCCTTACCGAACATCCCTGCCTGTAATAGACACTGAGGGCGTTGCACAGTACATTGGTTGGCATAAAGATGGAATGAGTCAACAGAAAGTCCTCCATGAACGTGTCCGAATTCGTTTCTTCCTTCTCGCAATCGATTCTGGTTTCCAGCAAATATTCAAGCAGTTTTTCTGGTGTACCCGCGATGACCGAATATCTGATGAAATGAAAAGGAAACGAATCAGAACTTCATTAAACAGCTTGGCAAAAAATGATTCTCCATTGTGATTCATGTAAATTCAGCCGACGGTACCCCCTGACCAATCTTCTGCCCATTAAATATGTGGCGTCAGCTTTAGTTTGAGTATGGTGCTGTTCCAACGCCTGAATGTCATGACTCTCGATGTCTGCGTTTACAGTAAAAGCAGCTTTGTCTTAGACACACAATTCAAAAAGCAAGAGAAATATTTCTCGTACGTCTACAGTAGCTTCTGAATTCATGAAAGAAGCTTACGAAGACCTTAAAGAATAAATAAAGGAAAAGAGAAGCAAAGTTTGTAGAAATTGGTGTTTGTCTTCCTGAAACTAAATTGGTCCATTTCTTGCATCCTTTTCTGTCAAGATGATAATGGTGGGGCGCTGATCACTACTGCCACGTTATCAATCAGGGATACCTTATTTTAAAGGCAGATCGATAACATTTGTTTTGCAAGTATATAGCCTAGCCCCTTGTTCCTTTCCCGAAAAGAGCGCCACTCATTTGTCATCCTCGGAAGGAAGAAAGGCGAGTGACCGGGTCAGAGCTTAAACCCTAGACCTCTCTGATTTCTGAGTTCGAGATCTTACTGAATGAGCAATCCCGGTCTGAGAATTGCCGTATCGGCAGATAAATGACTCTCACAAAACGCAGTTAATACTTCACATGCCGCATCATGATGTCTGTACGCACCTTGCACAAAGGCTGTACATCTGACATTGGAGAATATCGAATACTGGTCAATGGCCGAAGTAGATGATTGCACGTTGCAAAGAAGAATGGTGGAATATCTGTTTCCCTAACTGTGTGATGACTTGCAAATAACTATGAAACGATCTGGTGATGAATCAACGATTATTCGAAATTAATAAACATTTTTATGATAAACATGCAGAAGAAAAAACCTTGACTACTAATCTTAATCGGAGGATATCCTGCTGAAATATTTACA